TGGATTTTAAAGTCCAGTTTCAGGATTTTGAAACCTTTTTCAGCCAATTACATGATTATTAGAGGAAATCTCAGGATTTATTAGTGAAGTTTCGGAAGGGGGAGGTTGCCGATGTCATGACATTCACATTAAATCTCAGGATTTTTTAGCGAATCCTGGAATCACAGACCCAAAGGGTGAGAAGGGACCTCAGGGGTCACCTAGTCCAACCCCTGCCAAGCTGTAGGATTGGTTGGGTCTAACCCATCCCAGACAGATGCTGTCCAGCTTCCTCTCGAAACCCTCCAGGGAAGGAGCTTCCATGACCTCCATGGGTGTCTGGTCCATTGTCCGACTGCTCACACAGCTGGGGAGTTTTCTGTGAGATTTAATCTCAATTGTTTCTGCTGTAGTTTGAACCTGTTGCCCCTCGTCCTGCCCTATGGGGTGAGAGAGAACAATCATCTTGATGGCAGCCTTTCCAGTATTTGAAAAACGCAATAATGTCCCCTCCCACACTGCCAATCTCTTTTCCAAACTAACCATGCCTCTAGGGCTTCCATTCCATCCCTTTGATCATCTTCATCCCTCGCCTCTGGATCTTTTCCAGTTTCTCTACATCCTTTCTGTACATTGGTGACCAAAACTGGACACAGTCCTCCAGCTGAGGCATAGAGTGGTACTGTTACCTCCCGTGACTTGCATGCTCTGCCTCTGTTCATGCAACCTGACATTGCATTTGCTTTTTTGCAAAAGCATCGCATTGCTGACTCATGTCATGGCTGTGATCCTCCACAACTCCCAGCTCCTTTTCAGCAGTGCTGCTGCCAGGCCAGTTCTTCCCAATCCTGTATTTGTGCATTTGTTTTTTCTTCCCTAAATGGAGCACCTTCCATTTGCCCTTCATGAATTTCATTGTGTCCTCTACAGCCCAATTCTCCAATTATCAATATTACTCTGAATTTTAGATCCATCTTCCAAAGTGTTGGCAACCCCCACTAGCTTTGTGTCATCTGCAGATTTGATCAGTCTGCTCCCTAGTCCTACATCCAGGTCATTGGTAAAGATGTTAAACAACACGGGACCCAGAACAGATCCCTGGGGAGCCCCACTTGAGACGTCCCTCCAATCCCACCTCATTCCATTAACAGTTACTTCTTGTTTGTGGTTTTTTTTAACCAGTTCTGTATCCACTTAATAGTAGTTCCACCAAGCCCACATTTCTCCATAAGAATGGCCATATTGGGTGAGACCAAAGGACAATCTAGCTCAGTATCCTGTCTGCCGACAGTGGCCAGTGCCAGGTGCCCCAGAGGGAATGAACAGAACAGGTAATCAACAAGTGATCCATCCCCTGTCACCCATTCGCACCTTCTGGCAAACAGAGGCTAGGGACACCATCCCTGTCCATCATGGCTAATAACCATTGATGGACCTATCCTCTATGAATTTACCCAGTTCTTTTTGAACCCTGCTTTAGTTTTGACCTTCAGAAAATCCTCTGGCAAAGATTTCCACAGGTTTACTTTGCGTTGTGTGAAGAAACACTTCCTTACATTTCTTTTAAACCTGCCAACTATTAATTTCATTAGGGGACTTCTCGTTCTTGATTTATGGGAAGGAGCAAATCATACAACCTTATTTACTTTCTCCACACTAGTCAGGATTCTATAGACCTCTATCATATGCCCCCTAACTCATCTCTTTTCCAAGCTGAACAGTCCCAGTTTTATTAATCTCTGCTTTTATGAAAGCTGTTCCACACCCATAATCAGTTTTGTTGCTCTTTTCTGAACCTTTTCCAATTCCAATTTGAGATAGAGCCACCAGAACTGCACGCAGTATTCAAGATGTGGGTGTACCATGGATTCATATAGAGGCAATATGATATTTTCTGTCTCATTATCTATCCCTTTCTTAATGATTTTTTGATGGTTGCTGCACACTGAGTGGGTGTTTTCAGAGAACTATCCATAGTGACTCTCAGATCTCTTCCTTGAGCAGTAACAGCTAATTTATACCCCATCAGTTTATATGGATAGTTGGGATTATGTTTCCCAATGTGCATTACTTTGCATTTATTAACATTGAATTTCATCTGCCATTATGTTACCCAGTGACCCAGTTTTGTGAGATCCCTTTGTA